AGTCCAGGCGTGAAATTTACTCCCTACTAAATATTCCACAGTCAGAGGAGGCGCAAAATGATAGAGGTTGTCAACTTTCTGCAGGGTTAATCACTATAGACCTCCATAATTCATGTGGCCTTCAGAATAGCTTGAGAACAGTGATGTATAGAGCTTCATGGAATAGGTTTCCATGGCTGGGAAGTTATATGCAAGCCTTACATCACCAAGTGCAATGCAAACCATTAGATGTAGTGATGAAGGCTTAGGTGTCTGGTTTTGGCAGTTGCGGCAGTTGGTACTCATGTAAGTGTCTGTGTAGGTTCTCAGTCATCCAGATCATGGTAGTCTAAGGAGCTTAGAAAGGTACTTGTCTAACTGCACTCTGCTAAGTGTGAAGTTTGGTGGAAGGAGGTGTATGGTGTGGGGTTGTTTTTCAGGAGTTGGGCTTGGCCCTGTTAAGGAATAAACATATATTCTTAGTGCTTATTTTCTGATTATATTGTTTTATGTATTTTAGTAATAAAGGCTTGTAAAGCAAAGCCACTTTTGACTCACAAACTAAGTGCTCAGCCAGACTGAAAAACAGGAAATGTATGAAATGTAAATGTAAATTAAAGATTTGAGTTTTTTTATTGAGTTTTGACCACCCTGGGTCCAGTCTTTCTTTGCCGCCAAAAGAATTAAAAAGAACTGAATGTAATAGCCCCTTAGTTCCAGTGGAAGGAACCCAGAGTGTACAGGTGAGACATCAGTGTCTGACTTCACAAATGCACTTCTGGAAAAATTGTCAAAAATCCCCATGAACACACTCCTTGTGGTTTTTCTGGCTTTTCTTCTATGCTATTTTTGTAAAATATTGTTTAATTCATTGCAGTTGTTTAAAGGTTATACCCTTTAAAATGTAAAATTCCTGTTTTGTGGGTATATCCTATTTTCACTGTACTAATATTTCTAATGCAAATGTATGATAAATGATGTGTGAATTCATCTTTCAAATGCTGATACTGTATAAATGTTGACTGTCTTATTTTCAATTTGGATAAAGATTTGCAATAGAAGTTAGCACACTAAAGCATCTGCTTGTTCCATTATCAGACTTACATGATGAAAAGTGAAACCAGAAACTGAAAATTTACCTTAATATAAAAGTTGTGCCTTTTGATCATTGTGGCATAAAAGACAATGTAATATAAAAGTAAGAAACAAGTTTGCAGCAGTTCTGTGGACGAAAACACCAAACAAAAAGCTTCAGTAACTAACAGTTACAGTGACCAAGACAGTTAAATGTTAAATAGTAAATGGAATGACTCTTACAGTATATAAGTTATTCTATTCTCCCAGAGCACTCAAAACGCTATATAAGGCAATCACTCTGTACAGTAGACCTGAATTGGAAAACGATCACAGAATGCACTACCCATAATGCGCCTTGTAATCGGAAGGTTGCCGGTTTGAGCCCCGGCTTGGGCAGTCTCGGTCGTTGTGTCCTTGGGCAAGACACTTCACCTGTTGCCTACTGGTGGTGGTCAGAGGGCCCGGTGGCGCCAGTGTCCGGCAGCCTCGCCTCGTCAGTGCGCCCCAGGGTGGCTGTGGCTACAATGTAGCTTGCCATCACCAGTGTGTGAATGTGTGTGTGAATGGGTGGATGACTGGATATGTAAAGCGCTTTGGGGTCCTTAGGGACTAGTAAGGCACTATATAAATACAGGCCATTTACCAACCATAAAGTGGATTGACTATGGAGAATATGTTTGAGTACACCAAATGTGTCCACAGAGCAGAGATTTGTTCATCAGAATGTAAATTTCTGCTGAACGTTTTGACATTTTGGTGTCAGTGTCATGGATCCATGTGTTGACAGTCCAGGCTGGTATTCGTACTGTAACAGAGCAGGGGTTTTTTTTCTTAGTATGCTTTGAGCCATTTGAGTATTGTTGAGTATTGTATTGTTGCATCGCCTTTTAGACTCAGTTAAATATGTTCTAATATTCAAGTATGATAATCCACCATTTCATTTTTGTGAGCATGTAAAAGGCTGTATTTAAGAAAAGTGGTTGTATGGATTGAAACACTCAATTTCTGAATGTATATAAATATACATACTAAATAAATATAAATACAGCTTTAAAGAAAACACTTAAATGGAGAAACACTGCATTAATGAAAAATATAAGAAGAAATAAAGAGGTTAACTGTTAGTCAAGTTGCAAGCCAAGAAGATGAGAGGAAATAGACATACTGTAAAAGCTGGCCATTACATAGTTCTGGCAGCGATCACCAGTAAATTCAACTGGACACCTGAGTAGGAAACATGAGAAATAAAGAAGAAGAGAAAGAGGGTGTTAGTTTATGTCATATGCAAAACCCACAGTCATCACTGGTGTTATGGATATCTAAACCAGCATGTCTACCTATTGAGTCTTTATTTAAAATTACCCTTTCAGACTACGTTGTATATTGCATAAGTCATAAATGACAGATGATCAATTCTAATTTAGTGATTACAGTTAACCTAATTTAACTACTCTCTTTGCAACAGACTGAAATTTGCATGTATGTAATAAGACAATTAGGATAACCCCAGTTGCATAAATTTCAGACAAAATAGAATTAAAGACCCCAGTAATGGCTCCATTACTCTTGGTCATTCAGTACTGCAACAGGTAATCCCTCTGCTCTCTTGTATGTGACATTTATTTTCCAACACTACGTTTAGACTTGAAAATTTACAGCGACCTGCTAACCTGCTCAAGATAAATATGCAGTGAAATATGCAGTGCTGTTGATCAATATTATTATTATTATTATTATTATTATTATTACTACTACTACTACTATTTTGAATTTTTTTCACGCTTACACATTTCAAAAACGTTTTTAATATGTTTAATACACAAAGATGTCCCGAGTACAAGTTACAAAATGCAGATTAGAAACAATCATTTTATCATTTTTTATACATAATAGTTATCCACCTACCTTGCTTTATGTAACACAGTTACTTAATGTTAAATCTTGAATTAACTATGATTAACTGGATTAAGAACCGCAAGCCTCACTTGCAAGACTGATATGATTCAACAATATGAAAGATACTAGATAAAAATTGGCATCCTGAGAAAACCACAGTTGATCAAAAAGAATTGTCTCACATTTCCCCCAAAAAATACCTCAATGAACCCCAAGACTTTGGGGAAAATATTCTGTGGATAAATGGGACAAAAGTTTAACTCTTGGGAAGGTTTGCATTCCATTACACGCTATATAAATGCAATCCATTATCATTATTATTATTACAATTGGAATAAATTAAACACGTTTCATAAAAAAAACATCATACCAACAGTCAAACATGGTGGTGGTAGTATGATGGGCAAGGCCTGCTTCAAGGTCTGGATTAAGTACCCCAATTTATGGAATCATGGATCAAAATACAACACAAACAAAAAATAAAAATAAAAACAAAGTCAAGGCTTTGTAGTGGCCTAGTCAAAGGTTAAATCCATCTGAGATGGTTTGGTATGACATTAAACAGGCCATACATGCTTCAAAACCTTCCAGTGTAGCTGAATTTTGCAAAGAAAAGTGGGCCAAAATTCCAGTGATCTGAAAGACATTGTCAGTTATTGCAAATGCTTGATTGTAATTCTTGCTTCCAAGTATGGCACAAACAGCTTATAGGTTTAAAGAATAGCTATCTTTTTTACATAAGACCATGTAGGTTTAAATAGCTTTTTCTCTTAAATTAAATCATTTAATAACTGCACTTTGCATTTACTCAGGTAATCTTTGGCTGATATTAAATTTACTTTGATGATCTGTCACATATCAGCAAATATCAAAAAAAAGAAAATATCAAAAAAAGAAAGAAAAGAAATCAATAGGACTGTAGCACTGTAGGTTAGGGGCAACTTTCATCTGCTCTTATGCATTTTCAGATAATTTTAAAGCTTTTCAATAAGCTGTAATATAGTGGTATAATCCTAAACTATTGCATCTAATATTGTTATTATTGTTCATATCATTTCTACATCTAAACCCAATTACCAGTTTGGATTTTCCTTTTATATTTCATAAATATATTTATATTTTCCTTTTTATATTTCTTTAATGTGCTGACACAATTTAACACTTTCTGAGTTGCAAATAAAAGAATAGGGCTTGAGTTAGACTTGTACATCATGGGTATATCTTGATTTACGCATTTGTTTAACTAAATCCACAATTTTGACTATAGCCAGATCTCCCTGTATTGTAATAATAGAGATTATTGAGTTTAATAACTGGCCACTTATTTTCAGCTTTCCTTTCTAGCTTTGAATAAATCGTTTATTTATACAACGTTTTATATAATGCTGACTACTAAAAGCAATTAAAATACACGCACATAATTTAGCTGTTTTAATAATATAGGCCTATATACTGTCTATTGATTTTCTTATCATACACTCTCATACTCCGATGCTTTGAATTCCATAGTTACACAGGTATATTTAGATGTATTGTGTGTTTAATTACTTTATTTTAATATTAAACCTTGTAAAAGCTTGTAGCTAAACTGGTGAAACCCTCGGTTGAGTTATCAGGCTGATAACCACTTTTGTGACTGATAGTATGATAGATGATATTAGCATAAGATAAAGATTTGGAGAATCTGAAATTGCTTTGCACTACAGAACCCAAATTGTACAAGAACATAATCAATGTTTTGTTTTCTGATGATCTGGCAATGTGGCTTCATACTGAAGTGGAGATCACTGGTCTAAACAGGATGGATGAGGTGTGGTGAGATGTGAATTACATGCAAATTCACTGCAGAAGAGAGTATGCTTAAGCCTTTAGACCATGTTCTACATAGAGTCTACTTGAACTTGGAGAAATAAGTTCAGCATGCTCACCAAGTTTATATCTGTGCATAGAAGGCAACATGAATTTCTCCACTATTTCCTGGAGAAAATATGCTAAGAGTGAAACACCAGCAATGACATGTGGGACTAAATACAGTTGTATTCACATACGTTTTGGGTCTGAGACATTCTTAAGAACTGCTTGTTCACATCGGTGCCCAGTGAATCCAGCCAAGCACCTAGTTAATGGATAGAAAGGACAAGACAAAAACAGCACCTACTGTTATCCACAGGACGCAAACACTCAATGACACACAGTCACAAAACATACTATTTTCCAAGATAGAACTTTATCATATAATGCTTTTTTTGTTAAAAAAAAAAAAATCTAGATATAATGTTACAATTACAACATAATAAACATAGTGGGAGTTCCCAACCTGGATGGGAGGCATACCAAAAAAGCCCTATAACACTCATGGTCGTTAGGAACTTAGGGTGATCCTCATCCACCTCAGTGACCCAGCCACTAAGGAGTTGTTCAGCTACCTCAGTGACTTTTTTTAAGTAATGGGCAAATGGGCAAATCATTCCCCTCACTGTCATGGAAGGATAGGCCCCTGGACAGGCTATCTGAAAGCCCCACAGTATCTTATCTTAGCTCAATCATTGTCAAATGGCGTATCACATTTTGACCTCAAGACTTCCAGGCCATAACTTAGCACAGATACACCGCATGCCAGCCACTTGGTTATGGCGTTCTATGTATGTCTCGCTGGCTAGCATTTTGAACCCTGTTGTTATGTGCCTGATTGTTTCAGAACTTGTTTCTGTTCTGCCATGATTACTGCATCTGTGCTGTTTTTTCAGCTTTACCCAGCCAGTGGTAGGATTTCTGGCTGTTAGTCAATTCTACCATCTGCTGGTGGTACATACCCTGGAGGGCCCTGTCTATCCATGATGGTTCTTCTCCTAGTCTAGATTGTCAGCAAATTTCCCTTCTGGTAGTACTTTTCCTCTCTTTGTTACCATCTGGCTAAACTTCTCCAGTCCAAATGACATTCTGATGTTGTTGCTATAGATCCTGGTGGTATGGATCGATGAATCAATGCCTCATTCACTCCCGGAATACAGCATGATATCATCCATGTAGAGGAGGTGGCTGACAATTGTTCTATTACGTATTCGGTACCCATAGCCAGTCTTGTCAATGATAGCACTATGGGGGTTCGGGCCTATACAGAACAGCAGTGAGGACAGGGCATCTCCTTGGTAGATCCCGCACTTGATGGTGACTTGTGTGTTTGGCTTGAAATTGTCCTCTAATGCTGTTCACCACATCCCCATTGAATTCCTGATGAATGCTCTTAGGGTCCTGATGATCCTGTATAGTTCTAGGCATTCCAGGATCCATGCATAGGCATTGAGTCATCTGCTTTCTTGTAGTCAACCAGTGGTACACAGGTTGGTCAATCTACAGGGTGGGCCATTTATATGGATAAACCGTAATAACATGGGAATGGTTGGTGATATTGAAGTCCTGTTTGTGGCACATTAGTATATGTGAGGGGGCAAACTCCTCAAGATGGGTGGTGGCCATGTTGGCCATTTAGAAGTCGGCCATCTTGGATACAACAACAGAGTCATGTGACACATCAAAGTTATTGGTAATGTCACAAGAAAAACAATGGTGTGCTTGGTTTCAACGTAAATTTATTCTTTCATAAAGAAGAAAGAACCAAGCACACCATTGTCATTAAATTGAATTGATTTTTTCTGTGTTCTACTGAGAATAAAATATGAGTATATGGGATTTGCATATCATTGCATTCTATTTTTACTGACATCCCAGCTTTTTCAGACCTGGGGTTGTATGATAAAGTTCCATTATATTTCTAATGTTTTCATCAGAAATCATCATGTCTACTTTTCAGACAATATAGGTTGGATTTAGTTAGTTAAGCAGGATAAAGTACAAAAATTATTTTGTTCTGGCATTACAAATGCCAGCAGTAGCAGTATTCAGTGAGCTTAACCTACAGTTCATGGCATACCTGCAGAGAAACTTTGTACTGCCCGGGATGATTTCAAGGGTAAAGCACTCGCCTCCATTAACACAGTAGTTCCTCTGACTGTCACTGCAGCGGGTTACGTGACTTGAGGTCTTTGCTGTAGTGGAAGTGCTGATGGTAGCTGGGGAGAGACACCTATAATTAGCATTTCATGAAAACAACACATGCATCCTCGGCCTTAAATATGAATTATACTTCTGCGCCAGACCTATGCCATAACTAGAACACCATTTTATCCCTACCCTACAGGTAACCTTCTCCCCACTTTCCTATTACCCAATGAACAGCTAAGAGTATCCATGCAAGTGGGCTAATGATTAACACGTGTAAACTGTCATGATTATATTTTGTTAAACATATGCATGTTGCATATATAATACATGCAATAAATTACTTCTTGGCCAATAATCTGTCAAATATTGGTCAAACATTTCTCTCATGAAATGTTTGACCAATATTTCAAATAATTTTCAGGCATAAAGAGCATTCCTATCACAAGATAGAAGTGGCAATAACTTTTTGTCAAAGCAGGTAACCCAAATCATGGAGAGGAAATGGCATTTTGCAAACTTAGAAGATTTTGAAATCTTCTAAGTTTGTGAGAAGAAGAGTTGAAAAAATGTTGAACACATTTTACATGCAGTTATTCACATAATTATTAGCGGTAGCTTGCCATTAAAATATCAAAAGCTCCCAAAATATTTTTAGACTTTTATCCACAGCCATTGTGAAGGGATGGATTACATTTCATTGCAATATGCTTTAAGTTGTGCTAATGAAATGAATTGTAGCAATAGTGTGTAAAAGCTATTAGTGGATTAAAATCAGCAATCATTTGCCGAGAGCCATTCCACCTATCATGCGTGAAGATAATTGTCAAAAATGTTGTTTGACAATATAAGTCATCCTAAAAGGTCGTGGTCATGATTCCACAACATCAGTATCTTAGAAATGTAACTCATCAGCTTTTTAAAGGTTATAAACTCCCCTGCTATAGGTTTTTATCCTCTTTGATATTATCTTGATTCTACTAGGCCTCAGCTGCTGGGAGCATGATGTACTGTGTGTTTCTTCTTCACTCACCTCTTTTGACTTTTTATGTATTTCTACAATACGTTGCATTTAATCATTAGTTAACTTTAAAATCTGGCTCTCTTCCAATGTCTTACTTTTGCCTGTCTTCCTCTGTGCTCTTCCTTTTCTATCACAGCTGATGGCTGCCTCTCCCTCCATTTTTCCTCCATTTTTCCAAGCACTTTCTCATTGGGGTTTTCTCTTGATTATTGAAGGGTTTTCAATTTACAGTATAAAGCACTCTGAGACAACTGTTGTTATGTTTTGGTGCTGTATAACTAAAACATAAGAAGACATGAGGGGGTGGGTAAATGATCGTTCCTTCTAGTTCCCATCAGAACTAGAAGGAAAGAAGGATTTTTAAGGACAACCTGTTAATGAATTAAAATAGTCCAGCCTAGAAGTGAAAAATGCATGAACTACTTTTTCAGCATTGATCTGAGACAGGATGTTTCTATCTTTAGAGGTATTGCACAAATGTAAGAAAGCAGTCATTGAAAGCCATATCCTGGTCAAAACTGACTCCAGACTCTAGAAGATTCTTCACAGTTTTAGAGGAGGCCAAGGTAAAACCATACAGATTAAGCATCTGGTTAAATACATATATCCAAGATTTTTAGGACTGCAACACAGTGCTGTAGTGTGTTGCACTGTTGCCACACAGCAATTAAATACTGGGTTCAAACTCAATGACCTACATGTGTGGAGTTCTTCCTATGCCTCTCCAGGTACTCTGGCTTCCTCTCACAATCCAAAGATATGCAGGTTAGAATAGAATAGAATAGAATAGAATAGAATAGAATAAACCTTTATTATCCCACTGATGAGAAATGTTGGTGTTACAGAGCTCTTAGAGCAAGGGGAGGAGTGATTCTAAATTAACCATAGTTGTATGAATGTTTGTTTGTCTCCATTTTGACCCTGCAATAGACTGGGAACATGTCCTAGGTGTGCAGGTCATCCTCTGACATCTAAGAAAGGGTCTGGACTCTTCATAATCCTTACCTGGATAACTGGTTAAGAAATGGATGGATGAACTGTTATCAATTTTAAAATACTGGAGAAGAGGTGTTTAAAAAAAAAAAAAAAAACATAGAAAAGGGAAGCGTAAGACAGTTACAATGCATCTCATAATGTCAAACTTCAAAGTGAAACGTTTAGAAAGTACAGACAGTCTTTGGAATAAAGCTGCACTTGCTTCCTAAATTTACAACAGGGCTGCAACTTGAGTGAATACATACAGATGAGTGATAGGGGAGGAGCAGCAGTGCTATCACCGAGAGACACCAGCTTTGCCAGAAATCAGATAACATTCTACAGGCCAAAACAAGACATTTATACATTTCAGCATCAGAATCTCACTTGGGACACTCAGAAAGAAAATTAACAGAGGTAATTTTTAAACATTAACCTTCTGTCACTGCTGGTATTCAAGCATTCTTAAGTAAAGCACTGTCTACAAACCAACCCCTGACCTACCACCACTACCTCACCACAATACAACACAGAGTGATGTGACTACAAACAAAACAGCCTAGTTGAGAGGCCCAGGCAGAAAGAGAGCATAAATGGATTGGTGTATTTTCGCCTGTGCCTCAGGGATAGTGGGGACATCAGTTAGCTTCAAGAAGGCTCTGACCTTGAAATGTAGCATAGGCAGAAAACAGGAAGTCTGGCTGTGCCACAGCCTGGGTTTTCAGTTTATGTCATGCATCATTTATTGATATGCACTTTTCAGTATATCTCGAAATGTGCATCCACACACTTCAGAGATCTTTCACATTTCTCACGTTTTTTTGCAAACAGGAAAAACATTTTAAAGAAAACACTGATTGACTTTAATTACTTAAGTCATTTCATTATAATATAAAGGGCCACTTAAACTCTAAAGTGGGTAAAAGAGCATGACTCCCAGAAATCGCACAATTAGTGTATGGGTAAAGTAGATTTAAACTGAAGGTTCAAGGTACACACTTACACAGTTTGTGTAGAAATAGTTCAGGGGCTTACTCATGGCACCGTGTGCAAGTCACAACACATCTGTTTTCAGGTACAGAACATTCTTGTACAGAAAAAAAGAACACTACAAATTGAATGATACAAGAGAAAAAAAGTTATTTGAATCTTATTATATCAACCTGTTTTATCTTTTGCAATGATGAAAATCATAATTTTGTGTTAGCATGTAATGTCTAGCCATTGCAAACTACAGTATATCTAATTTAGGCTCATAAAAATATGTAAGTAACTTAAAGAAAAACCCACTTACAGATTTTTATATAAACAAGTATTGGGTACTTACAGATAGTTTGATGATGGCTGTGTGATTTCTGTGTTGACTTTCGTTGGGGAGTCTGCTTTGGGGTGGTATAGTGTTCAGCGTTATATTTCAGTGTGACAGCAGGCTCAATCACTCGTGAAGACTGAGACACATGCGGCTGTTGTGTAGATTTATCTTCTACTGAAACTTCAGGATGCTCTGGGGTAAGGGTGAAGGTGGTGGTTAGGGAGTTATTTGAAGGAGTTGCATGAGGAAACGAGACTGTTATTCCCAATGTGGGTTCAACTGGTATAATAATTGGGTCTTGTCCAATAGGCTTAGGATCTAAATGTGATGGTGGTTCATACTCAAATATCTTATCCACAAAGACCCATTTGAGTCCAGCTGTGCAGAGGGCTAAGCTAAGCAGACAGGCCAGTATGGGGAGGATGCAGATTTTCTCAGAGTGCAGGCAATTGTTAATCTGTTCCATCTCTATGCACACGCAGCAGGCCTCTGGCAAGGTCACAATTCCAAAAGCCCCCACATGCTCCCCATCGTCACCAGCACCACCTCCTTCTGCAGTTCCCTCTATAGCCTCCTCCCCACTCTCACCAGCTGCCTCTGTCTCCTCTGGTTTCTCTTCTGGGACTTGCCTAGTATCAACAGTAGAGCCAGTGGGGGAGACTGATCCAAAAGGGGGAGCTGGCCCTGCAGAGACTTCCTCCATTCCCTCAGTCATCCTTTCACACTGCTTGAAGAAGTGTTTCTTACCACCTTAGCTATTAACTCAGATCATCACACAATGACATTTTTCCACCAATGTCTTTTAGTATCTTTTCCATTGTGTAGACACAGAGGGAGAGCTGGGTTTCAGAGAAAGGTGATGCCCTTCAAAGAGTGGAACCTTGCTAACAATCCAGGGGATACGTAGACAGTCTATGCATTAGAAATAGGAATTCCTTATTCATGCTTTTTTTTCACAAGGAAAACAACTGTCAAATTTCCTGCAGGCAGAAACAAAAAATACGGAAAAGATTTTTTAAAATGTGCGGTCTACTAGTGAGCAGCAGTGAAACAGTTGTACTCACTCACCTGAATACTTGGGAAGAAAAGGTAGTATCGATGTGATGGGCCAGCTCTAGCTGAGGCAAATGTAGTGCAGAGGACAGGCCAGCCAAGCACTGCAGTGGCAGGAGGGACATGCTGTCTAGTCTTGGGAGCTCCAAACAGCTGAAAAGCTGAATCATCAGGGAGCGGCAGGTGTCCTTCCTCTCAGTGCAGCCACTGAAACAGATGAGTAAGGGGAAAGAGGAAAAAAGGAAATTACACAGAGTGGGAGGGGGGCTGCAGCAGCACAGAAGGGCAGAACTGGATACTCCCCTTTTCTTCTCTCACCCCTCCTCTCTCAATCCTTTATTTTCAAGTGGTGAGCTGTGCAGACTCTGGCCTCCTCCCTCACTGCCTCTCTTCCTGTCTGGTAGTGTGCAATGCAGGCTGCTCCCAATCCCTGTACAAAGCATCAACCTAAGCAAGTTCCTACTTGATCCAATTAGAGCATATGTCAGCAAATCAGAGACAGGCAAACTGCTGTAGCCACACCCTCTAGCACCACTCCCCATTCATTATGCTGGTCCAAAAGGGTGTGTTGGCTTTTTCCTTTTTTTATGCAGAGAAAGCAGCCACATGATCCACCTAAGGGGATAAAGCTGTTGTATCCTACTCATCTCAAGCATCAGGTCTGCACAAATAATAACATGATAAATTTGAGAGAGAGATAGAGAAAAAGAGAAAAAGAGAGAAAGAGAGATAGATAGATAGATAGATAGATAGATAGATAGATAGATAGATAGATAGATAGATAGATAGATAGATAGATAGATAGATAGATAGATAGATAGATACTGTTCTTAGGCATTTCTAGCCTTAAATATGGTGTTATGTATTTCTTGGCCTAGATTTCAACATGTATCTTGGTATATAGTATTATGTTTCACTGGATAAAATGGGGATATTGATTCCAAAACTGGCACTTCTTTCTGTATAATGATCAAGTGTGACAGAAAGCCCCAAGACTACCAATAAAACTATTAACTTCCCTCCCCCACTCATACCAGGGCTAGAAGGACAATCCACAGTCCATAGTCTTCTGGATGTGTCGGGGCTTAAACAAGATGGAAACATCTAGAAAGGTCGGGTCACTGCAACACTGACACTACTGTGACCCTTTCCACTTACTCAGACAGAATTAATACCATTAATGGTATTTTTTGGAGATGACTTCCTGTGATATTGTGTCCAATATTGATTAATGTTCCGCTTTTGTGTGTGTGTGTATAAATATATGTATAAATGGAAAAAGTCTACATTAAAAATATGTACTAAATTACTAAAATTATGTTAAACAGACTTTGACTTTAACAATTAACTCCGTTTTCAGAGAGGCTAATCACAGTTTGTTCAATCAACTCTGATTATGTTCTCTATTAGTTAGGCACATGCATGAGTGCTGCAAAAAACAGAATGCCATCCTCGATGGAAATCCAAGAGTAGAGTCGCCATTTTAAAACAATGGACTGAGGAACATGAATGTGTGTCAGTCCATATGGACATTTATCTTGAAAATATCTACTAAATTACCAACAATTTAGTAGTATTTATTTAACTATAGAAATAATTTTACAGATTTTGCAGAAAGATGCAAAGCAGCACAAATGTTTTTTTTTTTTTATCCGATACTATAAATCTCAAATTGCTAAATAGTGGAAGATGTTTTTGTCTGTGTATGTTTGCTTCCCTTTCTGTAAATGTCCCCCACACTATATTCAGTGTTTGCATTCAAAATACATACAGGTCTAAGCATGTCAGAGTTTTCCTAAACACCAAACTCATTTATTGTTGATGCTTCAGAATGAAAAGAGTAGGATGAAACTGAGTAAAGATAAGAATATATGTAGTGACAGCAGTTACATTAATATATTCAGTTTTCATGTTTTGTCTTTAATATTTTCAGTAAAACAGCTACAACTTTCACTGACAGCATATAATATAGTTTTGCCTTTTTCATCTGTTAATTTAGGTGTTAACACAAATTTACTCTGTCATTACAACAATTAAGTGTATTCATCCGAGAGTATAGAATGATTTTTGTCTATCACTGGTTGGTCCTGAGGTCTGAATCTGGGGAAAGCTCATGTAATCACATAGAGAAAATCATCATCAAAAACTATCAAATGTCTCTCAAAACTTAAATAAAGCTGATCCTTCCCTGTCCTGAGTTTTCTATGTTTTTTTTCTATCCACAGTTGTGCTGAGAGCTAACATGTGAACTTGTTGTTAAAAAAAAGACACAGCTTTATATAGTAAGCTATTATCTAGTATAAACTTTGAATTTAGTTGTGTTTTTTAAAAATGAAGAGCTCCAAAGATGAGATGATTGGGCAGTTTTCCGGTCCTGGTTCAATTCTGGTGCTGCATCATTATAACCTGCAGGATGACAGAGAAAAACACATGGAGGTACTTATGTTTGGCAGCTGCATATAAATATAAAATAGACACACATTTTAGGGCTGGGCGATATATCGAGTTTTTTTTAAAATATCGATATATTTTCATGCGAGATATAAGATGTGACAATATCGTTTATATCGATATAGTCTATGTTACGTTATAATTATACTTGTGGAGCCGCAGGTTTGCCTCTCTTTCGTCCACTTTTGTCTCTACGCTGCGTTACTCGGCCTCGCCTCTCCTTCACTGAACACAACTGCCCCTCCGCCATTGCTTCATCTGCAGGCAATGACAAGATGAAAGCGGAAAATCTCCGTTAGCGAGTTACCGCGGATCGCCCCGTGCGTGGGGCTGGACGGCGTCAACGTGTTAGCGAGCTAACCGCGCTAACCGGGCTGCACGGCCTAAAATCCTTTCATTTTCTCAAAACTCGACAGTGCGCCTTATGTATGAATTCTGGTTGTGCTTACTGACCGCGAACCGATTTTATGTGGTACACAGCGCTCAGCAATCTGTCAAAAAATGTTTTAATATGACTTTGCTAAGCTACGGAGCTGCACCGCTTGATGGATTGTCAGAGGATTACGGCTACCGAGGAGGAGCCTCGCGGAGTGATACGTACTGTGCTTCAACGTAATATTACCGTACTGTGTGTGTATAAGGACCACAAATGGCATCTGTTCAGAGACGTGGTGCAGCTGTGAAATCTGTCTCTTTGTTATTATGCTCAGCATCTGTTAGTTTACATTTTGACTGCACAATTCTGAGCTTTTTGTTATGCACAAAAAGAACATAGTTTTCTTTTATTTATGGACCATGATTATTTAATAAATGCTGATAATTTATTTTTGAGTAATTTTTTCATGTACATCTACGCTGTATGTAAATAAAAGTGCCCGTGTGACATCTGGGACACAGTGTGACTAAGAACTCTCTTTTTGTTCTTAACTTATGGCTTTAAAAAAAAAATATTGAGATATATATCTTATATCGCCATCCAGCTAAAAAATATCGAGATATGAATTTTGGGTCATATCGCCCAGCCCTAACACATTTACTTTTAAACAGCCATGACTATGAAAATTAAATGCTGACTGATCCCAGGAATTCTACTCTGCACAGTTGTTAAACAGATATACACAGGTCTCTTTGTAATGGAGGATGTCACTTTAAGAGAGACAGACTTGACCTCCTGAACTATGAATGATGAAGATGATAATGTGCTGACTTTATGCATCTACAATCTCAACAGGGTTGTCTAATAAGAACAGAGAACCTATCCACAAAATCCACTGCCACTCAGGTATCTGTCGTTCACTCATTTATTGAACAAGAATCCAAGTTACACATCCATAATGTGAGTGAGGGATTTACTGTAAAATACTGTATGCTGTGTGGTTTAGTCTCACGGACGCAGACCGCTAACAACTCATCCCTTTCCTGTTGCCATTTGTGCCATGTGTGGAGTGAAGGTAGTTAATTTCAAATGTAGTGGATCCAGAATTGATCCACCAAGGCTAGGCACTGCATCCACCTACGATGGCTCAGGAGCTCTGTTAGACCATCACGCTCCATGACAGGAACTGCCAATCAAAGCTGTCATTAATAACCAATTTTACAGCATTCAATTTAGTAATTAAAGTCAGACTTATTAGAAAGATGACTCACTGAACCTAAATCAGTGATTCTGATTCTGAGATAACTAATGCAGCTATTACAGATAACGTTACAGTGTTTAAAATCGTCACCACTGAATGTCAGTAGATTTCAGATTGCAGGTCCCTGAGTTCTGTTTTCTCAGACCCCACCGTACACACTAGAGGGTGGAGGGTCCTACCATCAATACCCCTTACAATGGTACGGCAGTCCACTAGGTTGTACTGCATGCCTTTATGGTGGGACCAGCTGCTGCTGAAGTGGATCTGGAACCAGGCAGGGACATGAAGTATGACAGGATCTCTGGGAGAGTGCGTTTACACTTTGCTGGTTTTTCCCTAGGTCGAAGCACCACCTGGGAGTTTTCCACTTCCAGCTTCTCTAACCAGTGGCAGAGATTATACAATCCCAATCAAAAGTTTAAAACAACTTGAAAAATGGAAAAAGTCATATTTTGCGTGGCTGGATCCTAACAAAGTTCCAAGTAAAGCTTCGACATGCAGCACCAAGAAATTGGAGTCAGACAAAACATTTTTTGAGCATGCAATTTATTGAAAACAACGCTTGAACTGAAACAGGCTGTATTACAGCTGATCAAAAGTTTAGGACCACACTCCAAAAACAACCCATAAACCCCCCAAAACATAATTCAAAGTTCCAAACATGAACTCAGTAATGACTAGCTCGACCATTATTGTTAATCGCTTCAAAAATTCATTTTGGCATGCCTGATGCAAGCATTTCCATGAGGTAAGTGGGAAAAAACTTCCTCTGCCATCCATACCTATCAATGGAAAATTGTACTTAGTAGTCAGTATAAGCTTTTAATGATAGAATACTGCATGATGACCTTTTTATGACTTAGACCAGTGGTCCCCAACCAGGACCCAGGTCAGACTGACTACTTTTTCTTTTCAAATATTAATCTATTGCTATTAAGTGCTGCATCATTCTGGGGCGCCTGATCCTTTCTCACGGCACACCAATGTGACGCGGCACAGTGGTTGGGAAACCGTTTTTCAAGTGGTCTTGATCGGGACTGTATGTCCCAGGAAGGCAACTTTCTCTCAAACTGGGCATTGCTTTGATTGTTTTAGCTTTGAGACATTGCACTAAAAGATTTGTGCAATGTGTTGCATTTTGAAGAGCCAGCAAGAGAATAAATCCATCAGTAAGTGTAAAGGAAATACACAACACCGGTGAGTGATATTGAAACTCTGACCTACCGGAAATCTCCCTAACCTGCTTGTGCCAGAAAACTCATCAAGATGGCAGTCATACATAAGACACTGTTCAGCATTAAGATACACAAGTTTAACAGTATGTTATGAAGACATCCATAAGACAGACACTGAAGTTTTTCCTCTCAAGAGTGACACAAAGACCGAAAAAAACTACAAGGGACTCTGTATATCCTAATAACAACAACACTCATATTAAGGTAGGTGGAAATTTTTTATTTATTCCTATTTGCGTTATGTTTCTCATTCATTAGTCATTGAAGAAAAGTATGCTAAAGAACTTGTGTACACTTTAGTAAGCTGATATTTGAAGGAACATGAACATTTGTATTCAAAGGTATTTTTCTATGCTATTATAAAGGTCCTTGTCAACCATAACTGATTGTAAGCCACGTTCAAGTTTTTAAAATCCTTTTAATTACTTAAAATGTTGAATGAAAGATGTGCACCTATTGTGGTTTAGCCTTTTTTCTGTGTGTTTAAGGGCAAAGTTATTAACTACACTATTTATAAATGGTAAATGGTAAATGGCCTGTATTTATATAGCGCTTTTCTAGTCCCTAAGGACCCCAAAGCGCTTTACATATCCAGTCATCCACCCATTCACACACACATTCACACACTGGTGATGGCAAGCTACATTGTAGCCACAGCCACCCTGGGGCGCACTGACAGAGGCGAGGCTGCCGGACACTGGCGCCACCGGGCCCTCTGACCATAAGAGAAAACCTCAGACACAGTCTAAAGTATTTAACATAAAACAAGCACCTGAACCATGGGACATAGATGAGTTTGCACAAGGAGCAACACGGTCTGAGCTGTCTCGTAGAGGGGAAAGAACCTGCAGACTAATACTAAAGGGGAATGCTTTCTTCTTTTTTTTTTAAACTCTGCTTCTGCTTCACTTTGATAGTCTTTATGAACATTGGATCCCAGGAACATCCCACAAGAATATATCAGTACTATTCAAGAAAAACTATCCAAACTAAATACAGTCTATGATGAGTTCCTTGTCAACCTTAACTGTATTTTTGTATAGCCCACCTATAGAAATGCACTGCAAACTACACAACTGTGCATTAGTTGCCAGGATGGTTTCACAGAATGCACAGTCTTAAATTCAAGGAACAGGAGAGAAGCTCTGTATTTGTGTCATCCTGGGGAAGGATAGGGTGTATTTTTGGTTTTGCATGATTTGTTTTGAATCTTTTACAGTAATTTTTTTGGTCTTACGTATTGTTTTTTTTTTTTTTGCTTCTTTGTTTGAAAGCTATGAGTTTATGGTATGTTTTATTTGTGGAGTTTGTATTTTTAGTTATATTCCCCATAAAAGCTCCACCACTTTTACTACTTATTCTCACTTGCTAAAGAAGCAAGAGACCTTTGTAGTGAACGATTGTCTCCTAATAGGCAACTATTAGGAGACAATTACCTTGCGATAGAAAGTGATCAATAGTGTGTTTTAATTTATTTTAATTACATTTATTTTACTCAATTTATTTAATACAAACTATGATATGATGTATGTTTGCTTTGGATTTGTAGATGGCTTAATGTGACATCTGAAAATAATAGTTAAGCAGATATGGATAACTATTGTATACATGTGAGTTCAAAGGTGTACAATGGCTGCATACTTTTTTTTTTTTTTTTTTTTTTAAAGTACTTCAGGCAGGGTTTGTACACCTTTTTCAGGGTCAAATTCAAGCACTTTTTAAGCACTTTCAAGGTCCATTTTCAAGTTTTTCCATTGCATTTTACCTCCCCCCCCTTCAATTCACATCACCTCAGTAAGACCATGTGAAAATTAAAACAGATCATCCTAGGTGAACTTAAACACCTTTGTTCCCCTTTTGTTATAACATAGAAAAACGCACCACAGAAAAATACTGCAAAAGGAAAAGGTTTTCTTAGATCAGGGGTGGGCAATCTCAGTCCACAAGGGCCGGTGTCCCTGCAGGTTTTAGATGTGTCCTCGAACCAACACAGCTGATTTAAATGGCTAAATTAGCTCCTCAACATGTCCTGAAGTTCTCCAGAGGCCTGGTAACGAACCAATCATGCGATTCAGGTATGTTG